GATAACTGACGAGTCCAACAATTTATCAGAAGCCAACAAGGGTCAAACAGAGCCCGAGGTGATCTGACTTCAGCTCAGCTGATAAACCCAAACTAACTCTGATAAATTAAACTTGTGCTTGACACCAAAAATTCAGACATTCGAAAGACGCTTAATAGATCGGCCTAAAACAAAATATTTTTGGGAACTGGTAGTTAAGCAAATCGAATCAACAGACTACCAAACAAAGTTGTCTATCAAAGTGAGTGCAATAAGCAGGATAGTATGCGTCATCGGTGGGAATAATATGCTGGATTAACAAGTACAGAAGGTACGTAGTCCTATATTGATGCACAACTACATAAGTAAAATAAATAAATTTAAATAAATCGGATATGGATGCTATTCTTGTCGCACTTAGTCAAGCCAATTGGGGAAATAACATTAGGATCAAAAATAATTCACATGAAATTGGTAAGAGTATGCTCACTCTCAAATATTCACTGCAATTGGTGTAAAAAATGATCTTTTGAAGAATTTTTTGGGACCGGTGGATCTTTTCAAGAAAAGCTTTCTTCGAGTTATGACCAGGCCTACGAGTCCCTTCTACCAAATTTTTTGTAAGACAAAAAGCGCATATCAAGATGATCTAATTATAATGTTGTTATCTCAAGTTTTCGCTACTTATTCTTATACTATCGCCATTATTATTTTGATTACAACCTTAATTCAGCATCCAATTAGAAATATTGCAAGTGGGGGACAGTCAATGTCAAACGACGATGCTGGAATTCTTACGGGGGACTCATCTGTTCGGTTGGACGCTGCAGCACCTTCAATTACATCTTTCTGCAGCTCAAAGTTACCATGCAAGAACGGCGGTGCTTGTCTACAGGTGGATGGGAGGAGCAGGAATGTAAGCAAGCATTCGCGCGCTGCGAGCCACACATGCATATGTCCTCCGGGTTGGCAGGGAACGTTGTGTGAATCCGGTAAAGCCCAATTTTCTCTATTCCCATTTATGCAACTATGTCTACCAGGTCTAACTATACATGTAAGGCATACTTGAACACTAGTCAGTACATATG